AATAAAGCTGTTAAATCTAATGATTCTGATCAGTTAGACTCGTCGACAAAATCAGTTAATTGATTTTATTAATAATAGTGTAATATAATGGTTGGTTGATTTTATGTTGAGTGATAAGTATTTTCTTTTTTACCTTCAAAATATTATCGAACGAACTTGATAATTAAAAAAACTATACATACACATATCAAAATCAGATTATTAAATAAAAAATTAGTAATATATTTGACTATATCCTACTCTACCTTCTTCATCAATGAAATAAAAAAGCTGAGGCGAGTAAATTGTGAAACATTATACGTTTTTCTGATAAGATTAATACTTATTATATATGACGATAATACAGTCATCATAATACACACGAACATCAATAATTTAGTAAATTTAGCATTATCTCTAAACATTCAGAGATAATGTAGGTTTCTCTTAACTCCATACAATCATATCTATAATGTTATTAGAGGAATCTCTATATGTGTGTAGGTTTTAAACGGAGCTATTACCAGAGTTTTGTTCTTATAATATGATACGAAAATAATGTAACATTAACATTAAATTAATTCGGATTTTTAGACATGTTAATTTATCATTTATCCAAAGAACTTGATCCTAGACAAACACCCCCGACGGTGATTTATTAAAAAACTTGTGTAATTTTATGGTCGTTTATTACTCGAGGTTTAGAGTGTGTAAATTTTAAATGTTAATGCATTTATAGAGTGTGTACACTTATAGAGTGTGCACTTAGAGGTACGAAAATAATGTGTTATAATGACGTCATTGTCAAATTATGTATAAATCAATATCTGTATCTCTATTCATTATCAAAAATAAAACATGGACGAAAACAACGAAAACTCAAGAAATATAGTCATAGAAATAGATCTGGAAAATCCTTCTCCAACTCTACAACCGGCTTCAATAAACACTTATCAAACTCATTCATCCTCTACAAATAATCTTTTTAATTACGAAGATCTCCTCACCGATGTACCTCTCCAAACTACCACTGATCCAGCAGATAGAATGCATGAAAGCCATAAGCCACCGTTTATCATATGCGATTCTTGTGTATTCTATAAACAAACAATAAATATGTATAAACAACAGCTTTATA